CCCCCCCCCCCTCCCCCTTACTCCTGCCTCGCCCCCTCACTGGCAGCTAATTGGCCGTCAATTTGCCATAGTTTCCTCCTTATACTATGTTAGCGACGACTGATCCCCTCTTCATCCCCTCTTAAAACCATGTGTCTTCCCCCCTTAAAATCCTCCACATCACCCCCCTCTCCCCTGCCACAGGCGATAAATAAGCAGGATAATGATGAGCCTTAAAACAGTGAGATCAGCAGAGCACAAAAAAACGTTTTAAACTCATTTATTTCTGCAACGATTGCAAGATTTTCGGGCACGAGTTGCCCGAGAGTGAGTCAATATTCTAAATATATATGATTACATATATTTAGTTATACATTTATTCTCAAAGCATTAACTATAAGTGGAAAGAAGAGATAATTACAATTAAGAGATTATTTCTTTATAGATAGAGATTCGTTAACAGGAAAGGGTAAATCTTATTATCGTATGATCCGTGCACGTAATCCCATATGTAGTAAACTACAATGAAAGCTCACTTCTGTCGGACAAGACGGATTAACGCAGGTTTGGATTAAGCCGTCCGGCCCCGCACCAGCTCGGCTTTGTTGAATTTTCCGAGAATGTGAGGTCTAAAACTGAGATGAAAAAAATGAGCCTTGTTTTTTCCGATGAATTGTGAGTTTCTTGTTCTGACACGAAGAAATGAGGTCAAACAGCAAAAGAGAAGTTTATCATAGATTGGATTGCCCAATACGAGTTCCTGTTATGCATCTAATTGCTTCCTTATTAGATTTTAACATTCAAACATGATTTTAAATTTTTTAAGACCTAGAGGTCAAATGATAAAATACTTATTGACTGAGCTTGGTCAGGCGCGGACGGGAAAATATGTGGCTCTCCGCCATTACGCCCAGACTCGCTGGTCTCGCTGCACTCGGCCCGTAAGTCATGACCTCGGGTCAAATATTTCTTCCGTGCGGACCTCCCACTCTGTCAATGAGCAAATATATCACGACGAAGTTTCCCAAAATGTTTTCAATTGTCTATAACTTAGAAAATAGACTACGAGCGGTCCCAGAAGGCTGTTGTGGGAATCAAAATAGGTAAAAAATTGATGTTCACGCGGAACTTGCCTCCCAGAGTTTTACGCGGTGCGGAAACACTATTTTTTCTTCAATGATTTGTTTTGAATCGCACGACGGTCTTCGCCGAGAAGGAGGGACTGTTCGTAGTCTATTAAGACAAAGTCTTTTACTAGTTTCCCGATCTCTTTGTGAAAACTGTTCCGTTTGTGCATTGTTGAGAGGATGGGGCGAATTTAGGGACCAATCTCATAACAGAAAAACAAAAACAAAGCAACCTGGATTACTTTGAACACTTTTAAACTGTTCCTTCTTTGAATTAGGACATATCCAAAGCAATACGATTAAAGCCAAATGTCCGAAGGTCGC